ACCCTAAACCCCTAAACCCCCGTAAAGGCAGCCCCCGAAGGAATCCGCGAGAAATCGGGGGATCTGGGGTCTTGAGCAGCCATACCCTGTTGAAGCCATCCTCTGTGCTGACTATAGGGTTTAGGGTTGAGGGTTTAGGGTTTAGGGTTTAGGGTTTAGGGTTTAGGGTTGAGGGTTTAGGGTTTAGGGTTTAGGGCTTAGTAGCCGCCTGTAATAATAAGGGTACCATTCTTTCTTACCATGGGGCTTGAAGACGGGGACCCACAAAAAAAAGGCAAAAGGGTACTACTGGGCCCAGCTGCTGAACGACCTTGTCGGTAAGGTGGGACTGCATCAGCCCTACTACTCGAATCCCTAAACCCAAAACACCGAAAACCCTGAACAACACCCTCATCCCTGGATCCTACTTAAAGGATCATGGGACTTAGTAAGTAGGGTTATAACTAAGGTAACTATACTTATCACCCCAGTTAGGGGACTTATAACCTTACTAACTCAGTCCCATGAACCTCCAAGTAAAGGACTTCTAAACCTGAAGAGGGCGAGGGCACGTCTGGGCGCGCAGCAAGTTGCAGAGCTCGTGCTGCGACAGCGAGCTCGGTGTAATCTGTGATGCTGAAGACAGGAGAGAGGGCCACATCCTCGGGGAGGAGACGGTTGGTCGGTTTAGGGTTTAGGGTTTAGGGTTTAGGGTTTAGGGTTTAAGGTTTCGGGTTTAGGGTTTAGGGTTTAGGGTTTAGGTTCGCATTTTTTTGCGGGGACGGTATTCTCGAACAAAGTTCCTGCGACGTGGGGTCTATTACTTGACTGGTTTTACAACTCAGTGTCGAGGCCATCTACATGAGTAGCAAGAGTATAGCCCCAAGAAGCTCATACATGCTTGCATAAACTCCGACACCTTGTTCTCCTGATTCATGTAGGGGCCTACATAATTACCAATACTAAGTTGGGGGCTCCGTATTATAATTCTAGTAGAATATATCCCAAAAACCTGTTCTAATTATCAAGGCTCCGATATTGATTAGGGCAAAAGCTGAGCACTTAGAGCTGCTTTGGCGAAGCAAGGAGACTGAGGCTTCATCTACGTCTGGGATGATGCCCGGCGTCCCTAAACCTCAGTTGAAACATGTTAGGGTTTAGGGTTTAGGGTTTAGGGTCTAGGGTTTAGGGTTTAGGGTTTAGGGGGTCCCTAAACCTCAGTTGAAACATGATGTGATATTTTGTTCACGGAGATATCGTCATCAATTGCTAGTTCTATACTTGAAAGATACATGCCGGGACATGTCCGATGCAAGGTTGGCCGAACAAAATCGTCACCGACAGATCTGACTTATATATAGTTCAGGTTGAACACGATGTTGTAGTGGTAGGGATGCTCTGCCACTCTCATACCCTTGAAACTGTCACCAAGCGAAAGTCTTCTGGGTCCTAAACCCTAAACCCCTCACCCAAAGAAGCTTGGTCAGCCGACAAGCCCTAAACCCTAAACCCTAAACCCCAAACCCTAAACCCTAAACCCCAAACCCTAAACCCTAAACCCTAAACCGGCCTCTGGAACGCAATTGTGGCGGAACACCCACGAGGCCCTAAATCCACAAGGCGCATTCCTCCAATGCCGTCTTCGCCCTAAAGTAGGAGTCTTAATAATCAGAATAGGAAGTAGGAGTCTTAATAATTAGAATAGGGTTTTGGGGTATTCAATACTATAAACATAATGAGGAACCCCCGAAATAGTCTACGTACTTATTAAGGCCCCTATATTGGGGTTCAGGCTTGAAGCCCTCAACCCTGAACCCTAGACCCTCAGCCTTAAACCTCCAGCCCAGTCCACTTCTTTCCTCTTACTACTAGAATGCTGAAGCCACGCCCTAAGGGTCCATGTATCCCAATAATGGTATATACTTTGGCCTCATGCTACCTATATGGGGACTTTGAGGCCAAAGTATGTACTATGTGCATTGACTTGGGATGGGGCATGCTGGTCAGATCTGGCGGAAGCTGCGTGAAAGCCCAGGCATCGTTGGTGACCTGCTTAACGGCGACCCTAAACCCTAAACCCTAAACCCTAAACCCTAAACCCTAAACCGAGACGATTGGACTGAGAGGGTTTCCGGGACTCCATTGTTGAAACCGGGACCGATAATCACTGGTGATCGGATACCAACGTCCGATGAACGAGTGTCGACGACAATGACACAATGACGATGAGATGATGCTGATGGTGATGATAATGATGATGATGATGCTGGTGATGATGATAGTGATGATGATGGCGATGACGGCAACGGGGACCGAGACGAAGCTGATTTCTAACATCATTGGGTGGCTACGCCACAACGAGTGCCGGCAATTTATCAGCACGGGCATTATACACGTAGACACAAGTTTCCAGTGCTCAAATATCCACCTGTGGGCCAAGTAACCCAGAGGGCATGATGGTAACCTTTTTACTAACACTTACCATTCTAGCAACCCTTATATACCAGCCCTTACCGTTATATTGTACGATCACTCATACTAAGAAACTCAACCTAGGATGCCCTACACCCTAAACCCTTAAACCCTGAACCCTAAACCCTAAACCCTAAACCCCCAAACCCCCAAACCCCCCAAACCCTGAACCCCTATACGACGCTGCCCCCTTCGCCTCGTAGCTCGGTGCCAGCTGCCATGGTTGAGCAGCAAGAAGCCTTGGGGCTTTGGGTTTAGGGTTTAGGGTTTAGGGTTGAGGGCTTGGGCTGAGGGTGGTAGGGTTTTAGGGTTTAGGGTTTACGGGATGAAGAACGAAGGTTTAGGGTTTAGGTTTAGGGATTAGGGTTTAGGGTTTAGGGTTTAGGGTTTAGGGTTTAGGGTTTAGGTTTAGGGATGAGGGTTTAGGAGAAGAAGACAAAAACACGATAACATCAAGAACCATACTATTAGGAATACTTTCGGGCTAAGGGGTGGGGTCTTACGGTCTGGGGCTGAGGGTTTAGGCTAATATAGGGGCTTTCATCATTAGAATAGGGTTTGGCGGGCCCATTATACTATAATCATAAGTAATAAGGAACAAGTAATATTATACTATAATCATAATTAATTAAGGAACAGGTAACTATTTAGGCAAATGTAGGGTTCAGGCTTAGCCATCAACGGACGACTTTCGACTTTGGGCTTGTACCGGGTTGTATAACTTTGTATGACTCTGTTTATAGGATCACGGTTTGGGGTTTAGGGTTAGGCTTTAGGGTTGAGGGTTTAGGGTGGGCTTTGGGGGTTCAGAGGAGATAACATCACAGTAAGAAGCGATCAACATGCAACGATAGAATAACATATCAGTTCGAAGCATGAAGTGGCCAACATAGAATGCAAGTGTTAAGAGCATTGCTCTAAATCATTTTAAACCTTGAATCCTACACCGTATCAGGCAACAACAGTAGAGTAGCATACGGGGCTCTGAGGTCGTGCTCTTCCAGTAGCGTAGTAGATCTTAGCGGCAGCTCTACTTCTCCTCGTCGTAGTGTCGCAGAGGTGGCGAAAAGAAAGAAATGGTTCTGTTGAAGAAGCCTTTTTGTGGTTCTCTCTCTCTCAGTCGCCCGGCTCTCATGCTCGGACTGCACCTCGTTGAACCACGACAGGTCTTTCAAACCGCACGTCTGCAGCTTCGTGAGGATGTCCTGCTTGCCCTGGACGGAGCTGTTTTGGTACTTGTCCAAGATCTTGGTCGCTTCGTTGCGATGCTGCTCCGTGACCTGCTTGGCCTTGGCCTGGTACTTCAGGCTTGTCAACAACCCGGCCACCTCCCTTGACCAAGGAAGGCAGTGGTGGCGGTGTTGACTGCGGGGTGAGGTGGTGGTGCTCATGGTGGTGGTGGTGGTGGGGGCGGCAGCAGCAAGGATAATGGTAGTGGTAACGGTAGCAGCAGTGGAAGTGGTTATACACAAAGTAGCCTTAGTCAAGTTGTCGTCGTCGTCGCCGTCACAACATGCGTAGATCTACTGAGCGACAGATCTATCCAAACTCTTCAAGGTCACGCCAGATTTGTGATAGGACGACAGAACCACAAACGCGTCAATTCTGCATGCAGACTGCGCTTAGCCAACCGACAACTATAAACCCTGGACCCTTCAGCGCTACACTCCAAACCCATCACATCACATCCGAAGCCCTCAACCCCAGAACCCTGAAACCCTAAGCTGTAGGGTTGAGGGTTTAGGGCTGAAGGCTTTGTGGTTTAAGGTCTTTTTCGTACTTCAACCCCGTGAATAAAGCTTCGTGAGCCAAGCCGCGTCGAGGCCAAAAGCCGGGCCCAGGACTGGCGAAAGAGGACAAGAGCAAGAGAATTTCGGGGTTTAGGGTTTAAGGGTTTTAGGGTTTTGGAGTTTAGGGTTTAGGGACAATTTAGGGGTTTAGGGTTTAGGGCTTTAGGGCTTTAGGGCTTTAGGGCTTCAGACTTTAGGGTTGAGGGACAATTTAAGGGGTGTAGGGTTCAGGGCCACGAATTCAGGTTACTAACTATACGTTTCACTGACGGTCTGGTAGAGGTGGCTTAGAAGACTTCAGCTTGGTTAGGTTGGTTTCATCTGTTGGTAAGTCAATGTACTGATGGCGAGCCAGAACTGAACCGGAATTCAATTAACACTTGTTTGCAACCAGTCTGTGTTTGGTTTCAATAGATAAGATTCAGTTTGCAGCATGTGTCAGCCTGTTTGAAGGGAACTGGTTTTAATCAACTGCATTGATTTTTCGTTGCAGCTGCTGTTCTGCCGTTGGCTTCGGCATTTTATGGTAATTGTGTCTAGCCCTCAAGTGGTTTCACCTGCTTCTGTCATCTTCAGCTGGTTGCAAGGGCGGACCTAAACCCTAAACCCCAAACCCTACTTGGAGGTTCAGGGGTAGTTATAAGTGAGGTTATAAGTAGGGTAACTATAGCTATAACCCATATTAGGGGACTTATAACTGTACTTATAACTACCCATGAACCTCCAAGAAACTCCTAAACCCTAAACCCTAGATCCTAAACCTTGAACCATAAATCCTAAATCCTAAACCATCATCTCGCATCACGTCCAAGGGGTACCGGGGACTCTCGCGATGCTTGCCCCAGAGACTCCAAAACCCCTTAATTAAGGAATATACCTTAAATCATGGTAGGGGTTGCTCTTATAGTTGAAGGCCTATTCCTAATTACGGGGTTTGGGAGTCTCTTGGACTCCCAAAACCATTATAGGGTTTAGGGTTTTGGCGTTATAAGGATGGCCTTTTAAGACCTTTTTAATTTCTAGGGAAGTCACCCTTAACCAGTAGAAACGGGAGCAAGCCGTCTGGGGCCACAGCTAAAGCCTTTGATTACTGCCTCAGTAGCAAAATCAACGGCCTGGTTTATTGTTGCCATAATGGCTATTATTATTGCGATTACCAACATTGTTGTGACTATTGTCATTGCTTCTTGATTCATATTACACTTATCCTTGAACTTGGTATCCAACTCTCCATTTTTGCCTCAGCTTTAGTTTGCTTATTTCACGTCTACGTAATGTGACGTTGCGCATACTAGCTTTCAATGGCTTTCCAATGGTGTTTGTTATTCATGTCAACTACACCCTCAGAGTGTGATACTCGGAATCGCTACTGTAGCGTGCTCATGTCACAACTGGTATTGCACTCCAGCGATACTCTGCGGAGTATGTGTGCACTTCGCTGTGGGGTCTAAGGAAAGTCGCAGAGCAATCACCATTTGTTGGATCCTGATACTGTGGAGGTACGCTTTCCACGGTCCTAGTCTGCATACTGGAAAAGTGCAATATCCGCCCTAACCCCAAACCCCCAAACCCTAAGCCCTAACCCTTAACCCTTAAGCCTAGACCCTAAACCCTAAACCCTAAACCCGGCTGTTGCGGACTTTGAACTTGCTAGAAGCTTTGACGCAAGGTCTGGGCCTGGGCTCGGCTGCAGGTCTGGGGATTAAAGATGAAAGTTTAGGGTTTAGGGTTTAGGGTGTAGGGCTTTGGGGGGATTTCGGGGCGCTGAACTTCGGTATCAGACTGTGTGCATGGATGTCCTTACACCCGAGCGAGGCTTCTAGGGTTTAGGTGTAATGTGGGGACCTAGACCCTAAACCCCGGAAATGCACGGAACCCTGAACTCTAAAGCCTTGAACCGCAAAGCGCCAAATCCCCCCTTCCGGGGCAGGAGTTGTTGCGTAAATACCTCCGGCTCGAAGATAGACTCGGAGCCACACCCTCCCACATCTACTTGGAGGTTCATGGGTGGTTATAAGTGGGGTTATGAGTAGGGTAACTATAGTTATAACCCATATTAGGGGACTTATAACCCTACTTATAAGTACCCATGAACCTCCAAGTAGCGGGAGCAAAGGGGTCCACTCGATGTAGTCTACGCGTAGATGAAGCTGTGCATTGCTCTCGAGCACATCTTCCGCTAGCAACTGCTCCGCTTTCCCGAGCTTGCCGAGGTTAGCACGCACCGGCACATGGCTCCGAAAACCCAGCGGCTAAACTTCGGCTCGAGTACAGGCGAACTGAAAAAGTCTTCCAAGCAGCTGGAAACCGCTTAACTTGATTTAGCCACGGCTCCCCCTCCCCCTCCGCCCTCCAACCAACCTTAAACACGAAACCCTAGTACTACATTATATGTCATGAATATATATATATATATATATGCTTGATATAAAATGCAATATTATATACTATATCTTATGTACAGTCTGTTGTATAACCCATCATACTCAGTGATCTGAAACAAAACCGAAGGAAATTTTCTTCCCAAAGCCTAAAGCCTAAACCCTACCCCTAAACCAAGTACCTCACTCTTAGGTGCTTTGAACTTTTAGGGAAAGTTAACCCTGGGATCCTTATACACCAACTATATACCCTATATGTACCCTGAAGGGTCCCTCCCTAGAAAGGCCTAAGGGTCCATATTAGGGGCCCATACTTCTATCCTTAGACCCTGTTCGCTTCTCAGGTGGGTAGTTACCGTTATAGAAGCCTGATAGAAGGTCTATCTAGCTTATGGAAGCCTTATAGAAGGCCTATATACCCTAAACTCCCCACCTGTAATTTCCTGTAAGACAGTTCAGGCCAGCCGAGGAAGCAGCCCTAAACCCCTAAACCCCTAAGCCACTAAACCCTAAACCCTAAGCCCTAAACCCCTACACCCGAAACCCNNCTAAACCTTAGACCCTAAACCCTAGAAACCAAGGAACTTCTCTTCCCGGAGCTCCCAAGGCCTCTGACTGAGGAAGGGATGGCCACACGACCTGGGTCTTCGGGGCTCAAGGCTTTAGGTGTTTAGGGGTTTAGG